TGTGTCTCTGTGTGTGCATGTATCTGTGTGTGTGTGTGTGTGTGTGTGTGTGTGTGTGTGTACCTGACTTTGAGCTGAACCCTGACAGTGACACTGAGGGGTGTAGTTGGGAGAACCTTGGTGTGTTAGAAGAGCAGGAATGAGAACAGTGTGGCCGGATGAGAGCAAGCACCAGGTGAGAAGTCCATGGCTCTGAAAGGGTGGAGCTGGTGGCTGGCTCTGCAAGCTATGTGAGCAGTGTAGAGGGTTTGAAGACTTAGACTCTGGGAGAGAAGGAGGAACTCTCCCTATTGGCCGTCCTTTCCCCTGGCTGCCGGTCTCACCTGCGAAACAAGGGGATGGTGGTTCCATTCATGTTACTCACAGGGATCTAATGGGATTAATTACCATCCTGTCTGAAATATACCTGAAGCTCTTTAGAGAAAGGCATTATATTCCACGAACGCAAAGCCTCATTCTAATTGTGTATTTATTGATTAAGTGGCAATCAAAGACAATGCTTATGGGAAAAATCACTGTATCGCCACTCTCCATAAGCCTACCCCACGTGTCTAGACCTAGGACACATTTAAAGTTACATGTAAAAGCACTGATGTGGTCATTAATGATTTCTTAAACGTCTGACCAGACATTATTAATGAGATTAAAAGCTATGTTAATTGTAATCCGATAGACCAGAATTTAGTTTCCATGGCACACACAGTTAAACTGAGTCTTGAGGTTGCCTCTCTCGTTCCTATTGGACTAAGAATAGAGGACTGACTGTCAGGACAACTTTATCAGGGGAGCATTTAGAGGCAAGCAACCTTTCAAGCCAGCCAATGTCCCCACAGGTGGAAACCACACCCCCAGCTGCCCTCCTGTACTTTAGAAATGTAGGTATGTTTCAACTTAGACTCACTTGACAACTGAGCAGAAAATATTCCCACAAGCAAATTTCAGTAGAATTCCACATTCATTTCATTATTTAATTATGCAATCAATACTTTTTGTATTCTCTTCCTCATGACGAACAGAGCTGGGCTTGTTCTTCGTAGCTCATATATGATCTTTGACTTTTTTTTTTTTTTTTTTTTTTTCGAGACAGGGTTTCTCTGTGTAGCTTTGCGCCTTTCCTGGAACTCGCTTTGGAGACCAGGCTGGCCTCGAACTCACAGAAATTCACCTGCCTCTGCCTCCCGAGTGCTGGGATTAAAGGTGTGCGCCACCACCGCCCGGCATGATCTTGGACTTTTTATTGGCCTTTACACAGAATCCTAGCATATGTTGACCTTTAGATGTGGAAACAAACTGTATTAGCTGCTTTTCCTATCACTGTGAGCAAAAACAAAAAGAGCAACAGGAAATGAAAAACAACAATAACAATAACAAAGCGTGGTGAAAGCAGCCTATGGGGAAAGGCTTTGTTTTGGCTCAGGCTTTGAGGGGATACAGTCCATCTTGGAAAGGAAGGTGCTGAGCAGGCGGGGGAGTGTGGGGGAAGGCACAGCAGTGGGAGCCTGGGGCTGGTACTGCATTCTCTCTCATATCTCCAGAGACAAGAATTAGAGGCAGCCAAATGCTGACACTCAGCAACTTCCTCGTTCCCCTTTATTTAGTATAGGACTATAGCCCACAGGATGGTGGGGCCCACATTCAAGACGGGGGGGTTTTCCCTCAGCTAATCCTCACCCATGCAGAGGGGGGTCTCCTAAGTGATCCCAAAGCTTGTCAAACTGACAGTGGAGATGACACCAGTTTGGGTTGAGTTTTACTTGCTGGTGCTTTGCTCAAAAGTTGAAACAAGAGAGGCCTAAATAAATTATACGTAGCTTAGTTTTAATATTTTAACACAGCACTATCGTGTTGTGGAGGGAGAATGTCACACTTAAATACTGGGGACCTCAGTTAAGAGTATATTAAATCAGAGGGATATTTTGAGAGAGAGAGAGAGAGAGAGAGAGAGCTCACCTTACAACATTCGGAAAAAAAACACAGAGAGGATCACAATAAACTTTCTAGCCTTGCAACAAATAAACTTGTTAAAGGGTAAACTCAGTATCAAGGTTCTGCAAGTATCCTAAATAGACATCTATCCACTTCACTAATCTTTATAATTGGCTTGTCTTTTACTGCCATTAATTAGATGATGTAGTATTCCATTAATAAGAGTGACACACCTCAGCATTTTTACCTTTAATTATAGACTTCACTAGACACTTAGGTTATTGACAAAATGCTATAAACATTGCCTGCTGTACACATACCTTTTTTTTTTCTTCTCTCTCTTTCAGCACCCTTACCCTTCTGAAGAACAGAAAAAACAGTTGGCACAAGACACAGGCCTCACCATCCTTCAAGTGAACAATTGGTGAGTAACTTGGCTGGAGTTGACAGACAATCTGTTCCCCCCTCTGGCAACTTGCAGTTAATGCACTGCATGAAGAAGCCACACCCAGCGGCTGCTGCTTTCCCTAGTGGCTTGCTGATAAAGGTGGAAACAAACTGGACTGATGTGGAGGATTGCTTTCTAATGTGGAAAACAGAATGTGCTGCCTTCCACCTCCTCTATGAATCAACAGGTTTTATGCACGGGATGAGCGTATTTTGGTGACTATTCACTCTGACCCTGAAATAGTATCCCTTTCTTTGGCTTTATCTCTTTACGATAACTTATAGAGTTGGTATGGTATTATTTTCTATGAAAGAAGAAAAATCTACCATTACTACATAGCTGCTTTAGATTCACAGAGAAACCAATTCAGTGAGCTTTCGTCAGGGTTATCCATTAGATGATAGCATCTGGAGTTCTCTTCACACTCAAGTACTGAAGAAGAAAAAAGTTGTTTTCTTCTCTGAAGGTCTTTACAACCTCATGTAGCTGAGGGCTACTCAATACTATTTCCAAGTAAAGTGTCCGTTCCTGATCTGGCTGATGTTATGCACTGAGTACTGACAAATAATATTCTGACTAATTGTCCAGCAGCATGGCCCCGAGGCTCTAAGACAGTGTGCTTTAGTGCCCTTTGTGACCGTGCTAAAAGCCATGCTAGGATAATCACCGAGGCCTACTGTCATATTTGAAGGGTATTGAAAGCCAATCGCCTCTAAAACTAAGGATATCTAATTAGTCGTTCTAATATTTTCAGATCAGTGTTTATAGTGGAGAAATCTTCTCTTCTTTGCAGTAAAATCCAGAAAGCCTCAAAACCTGGTCGGAGAAGAGAGAACACCGAGAATGACAGTTTGTAGGCAGAAGTCTTTCTTTCTGTTCAGTCGGTGTCAGAGATTAATATTACAGACTCTCTGATTACATAGCCTAATCCATTTCGGTGAATAAATTTGTTCTTGATGTCCATTGTACTTACATTAACAGACCCTTCACTGTTAGCGAGCCTCGAGCCTTTGGGAGATATTTCAGATATATTAAACCCCATTACAGAAAATGTAATTTCTGTCAATATAATCCCATGTATTCGTCAACTTAGTGTTTTAGAGATAACAAGCTACTTATGCTATATTTGCCTTTGGAGGATTAATTTACAAAGTGCACTATCTGCAAGACACAGACAGACTCACATGAGCTTCGCTTGTAAGGGTTATCAATTTCTGTGACCTTACCACAGCCTTCAGAGATCAATTTTTTGCAGCCCTCTTAGTGGACAGGGAACCCACTGAAGTCATACTGTATCTAAATGTGTTAAGTTCTGTTGCCTCGGAGACTTTGCTGTTTGCCTGTTTTTATCTGCTATTGTCTTGAAATCTTCAAGACTGTCAATATTGCCTATTTGAAGTTGGTTTTTCAGAGGTTCTGAATGATTCCATGAGGGAGACAATGAGTTTTATATATTCATCTACAATCATGCTTTTAGGCTTAAAGTGGGGTGAGGTGGTCACAATGCAATGGGGGCAGTTGAAATGTGGCATCTCCTTGGGAAATGATCTTTGGGGAACATGAAGGAGTGGCAGGCTGAGCTCAAACTAAGGAGCACTAAGGAGCTGGCTGTCTATCATACATGCCATCTCTCTTCGTCCTCAATGTTGCTAGCAAACTCTGTTCATAAACATAGTTACCAGAATAAATTCAACACCCTCTGCTGTGCAAAGCCTGTCTGATGGGACACTTCCCATGAATGCAGGGGCATAAGGGCCTTCCTGTGGTGCTAGGTGATGTATATAAACCATCATTCCCTGGGGTCTCTGCACAAGATCTACCAGAGAGCTACAGGTCTTCATCAGCCAACGGCCCCAGTTTCATGTCTTTACTTTGTAATTAGAGAGGAGAAAAGGAAGACTAGGAATTAGGAAGCTGTGAAACAATTTTCAAAGTATATGCAGACTTAAGGCTGAAGTTCCGTTTTGCAGATAGGTAACTTCAAAATCACTTTTACTTCTTTGATATGGGACAGAGTGCATGGCTCTCCCTTTTGCCTTGTCCTTTCTGAGTGTAGAAACAGTTCTTCCCTGCACCTCAATTGCTTCCCATTTGTCAATTTCTCTGGCCTCATTGATAACTTTCCTGGAGAGAACATCTCTAAAGTAACCCAAAACATTCGAGATGGGTTGTTTTCTTGAAGTGTAGTGAATAATGGCATTTACGTGTTTCATTCAAGTTTCAAAACATTTTCCAAACCTTCTCTTTTTGAGAGCCTGTGAATGCCAAGTGGGGGTGGTGCACTCCTTTAATCCCAGCACTCAGAAGGCAGAGTCAGGCACATCTCTGAGTTTGTGGCCAGCCTGGCCTACAGAGTGAGTTCCAGGACAGCCAGGGATACATTAAGAAACCTTGTCTCAGAAAACCAAACAAACAAAAAAGAAGCTAGGAAAAGATACATATTTCTTGAGACCTTAGGTAGGAAGTAATATGCAAATAATGATGGTACTTTTAAAAACTAAAGGTGTCATAGAATCTTAAACCATGGCCTGTTTGAAGACTTAAAGACAGAGAAGGCCAGCATGTTTTCCTTCTCCTTCACATAATAAAAACACACAAAGCCTTTTGGAGAGCCTGCAAATAAATACTTTCATTACATAGAATAGTGGCCCATGAGATTATTTGCTTCTACAAATCCTAATTTAAAAAATGATCGTTAATGTCTTAAGACTTCCTCTTCACTTCATTTAGTTACAACCTAAAAAAAAATTCCATCCTTCTTCTTGGATTTCTTAAAACTTGTTAACACACATGTAAATTTTTGTATATGCTATGAGTCACTGCTGAAGATGTTTCATAAAATGCTGAAGGGCAGGTTGGGTGTAGATCAGTCATAATTATTGGCAGCAACATAGTGTATTGAAATGAACAGTATGTTAAGTGAAAACTATAAACTCATGTCTAGTTGCTAGCTTGTCATAGAAACCGTAGCTGGTGCAGCTTTAGTGAGGCCTCAACTGGAAGATGAGACAGGGACTATGGGGCACTGTTCCTTCCCACCATCACTAAGCCCATTTTCTTTCTTTTTGTTGACATAAAGGATATACTACACGTCAGATGATGAAGACTAAAACAGATGGGGGAATAGGGAAGTGGAAGAATCCCACTGTAAAACAATAAGACAGACTTGACGAAGAGAAAACAGAGATAAAAATATAACTGCAAAACACTCTTAGTTATTCTACTGGTCAGAATAAAACTAGAGAATAGGGATCTTAACATGGCTGGCAGGAGAGCCCTGGGACAGAATGAGATATTGATCACACACATGGGAGGCTGTAAGACTAAACCTACGCCAACATAGTTTGTTGAGATCTGAGGCCATTATTCAAATAACCCAGAATATTAAAGTATTTAAAATATTTCAAGTATTTCAAATGTGTTATTTGATTTAAGGAGATAGTGCATGGCTTCTCCTAGTCAACTGCTATGACTAATTGCCTACGCACTTCAGTGCTGTGAGGAGTTTAGACCCAAAGCGTGGTCAGTTGTGAGATACAGCCTGCCCATATGCTGGTGTCCCCTTCCTCTTGACTCCTTCATTACACAGTCTCATTGGGAAATGGTCAAATTAACATCTGGGAACTTTCTCTCTCTGTTCTTCTCATTGTTGTTGTGACAGGTGCTTCTGAGAACAATCGCAACATGCTGAGCCTTTCTTTCATTTGAAGTAGAAATATTGTAAGTTTTGGCAGTAGACGGCTCTTGATGTCTTTAAATATTTCAATATGTAGACAGGGCGTTAAGATGTCATTTCAGAGCGAGGCGGTGGTGGCGCACGTCTTTAATTCCAGCACTTGGGAGGCAGAGGCAGGCAGATCTCTGTGGGTTCTAGGTCAGCCTGGTCTACAGAGTGAGTTTTAGGACAGTCAGGCCTACACACACACACACACACACACACACACACACACACACACACACAGAAAATCATTTCAGTATTCAAGTCTTTTATCAAATGTGTTTTTACTTATTGTTTGAGAATTTCATGTGTGCAATGTGTTTTTATCTACTCCTGACTCCTTCCCCCCAGGTAGATGTTTAAAGACATATACATACACATACATGAACAAACACATACATGAATATGCACATAAATTCAAAGCCAATATTTGGTTCTTTTTTATCTTTAGCAGACCAACTTTTATACATTGAAACTATAAGTGGTCGAATAAAAGCTCATTTATATATATTTTAGGCCAGTGCTGAAGACTAAGGAATTCCCTACAACAAAAACTGATGTCTTAAGCTGTACAGTACTGGCTGGAAATCCCAGACACTTCCTGTCTCAGCAGAGTTCTAGCCCAGTGCACATACAATTATCATTCTGTGTTTGGAGAAGGTGCAAAATGTACAGTATACATGAAATCTGGCATGTGTCTAGAGAGAAAACCCCTTCCTATCAATGGAGTGTATAAAATTCTAGGCAATACCCTGACATCTGATAAGATATCAGAACTAGTGTCCTTGATAGATTTTAGATTTAGAATTCATACTGGATCTTCCCAGGTCCTTCATCTAGTGCCCTTAAAACTGACAGGCATTCAGGCATCACTTCCCATTTGTTACCCATGGGGCGGGGGGAGCTAGATTCTTATGCTACAGGCAGGTAAAAATGGAAGCTTATTTTTAGAAAATCTGATCTTTACTATAATAGATTCAACAGTTAAAGGTCAAGTTTATTTCTGAATTATAGTAGTAATGTAGCAAATACTTTTATAAGTAATCAAAGATTCTATAAATACAGAGACATATTTAGATGTAAATGTTAAAACATTCACAAATTATCCTCTCAGCTTCTCTTATCTGAAAATCAATAGGGGTCAGTGGGTTCCATGGGATTGTTCTGCTTTTCTTCTGATGTAATTTAATAATACATTTTACAGATGTTGTTTAAACATTAGGCACAGATTGTTTTGTCAATAAAGCTAAGCAGAGGC